AGTCCATTTTTTTTTCAATCAGTGAAGATGCCCCGATGGTGCTTCTAAGCCTAGAAACAGAATCTTGATATCCGAAATAAAATCAAATTTTCATAGAAAAGGATGAGGTTTTAAAACCTTAAATTAATTCGCATTAAATTCTTAAGCATGTCCTTGATTGACAAGAAAGCTTTTCAATGGCTTGTTAATTAGCTTTCATCCAAGGCATTGTAGACCTCGAAGAGATTTCACGTTTTTGTGTTATTAGGGCTCAAAGTCTGATAGTTTGTTTTCACGATTACAGCTAGCTAGGGTTTTTGCCTTTTTTAAATTTATTTTTAATTTTCCAGATTTTATGTTTTTCAGTTTTGTTTTTATCATTAATATTAGTTTTTTTTTCTTTCAAATATCATTAATATTAGTTAAAATCCACATAAGTATCCATATCATTTAATGAATAAATAAGAATTGTTGGATGTTATAAAATCTAAAGGCTACAAAGAAGAGTAAAAATATTTGTAAAACTATTTGTCCCTTGATCCTATCCCTATATATATATATATATATATAACAAAGAAAAGCTAACATTTATGCATGAGACCTACTACAACTCTTGAAGTAAAACTCAAATTTTAGGTTCTAAACCTACCCTAACTTGCTCCAACCCTAGGGCGAAATATGAGTTTTAATCCAAACCCATTTTTGGGGCAAATTCATGCCATAATTCTCCATAATTCTCCATAATTCTCCCCTGAGTTAGTGAGCTGGTCCAAATTTAAATACAACGGCTAAAAGAATTAAAAAAAAAAAAAAATTCTTTCATGTGTTTCAAATTCTTTCATAATGTTCTACGAGTTTCATGGTTTCACTTTAGTGATTGTTCAATATTTATCGGAATCTGAATATTTTTAGGTTACAATGTTCATAAAATTAAATTATGATAGTCTACATATTTTTTGTTTAGTTTTTTTTTAAGTTACTTTAAGAAAAAAAATTACCCTAAATTCATTGTTTAATAATCTCGGGCTAAAATTTCGGTTTCTGGATTAAAAATTTTAGGTTTAACCTAAGGGTTGGAGATGGTTTGACAAAGAGAAGTCAATTTTCTAGGGCATAAAATTATATAGCTGTAATATTTGAAGAAAGTTGGGGTTCCAATATAAAACTAATTGGTAATATGAGGATTATGCCAACTTACTTATAAAGTCATGCAAGACCCCTTCTCTCATCAATGTGGGATTCATTCTTGACACGCTCCTTCACATGTGACGAATTTTCAAGCCTAAGACGTGGACAACACAAAAGGGGCGACGTGGAGTGCATGTAGCCGGCATGCTTCACACTAAGACAACATGCTCTGATACGATGAAGAAAGTTGATGTTCTACCATAAAACCGATTGGCAATATGAGGAGTAACACAACTTACTTATAAATCCATGCAAAGTCTCATATCTCATCAATGGGAGATTCATGCTCAACAATATTAAGGTTCAAATAAATGGTACCGGTACTATTTTCTTATGAAAATATTATTAGAAAATTCAAGACAATTATGAAAATATTATTTGAAACATTACTATGGTTACCCTTGATTGAGCACTAATTTTCTTATGACGAAAGAAGTTTCAAGTTCAATTATTGCTACTCTCTATAATTTGTTTAAAAAACAAATAAAAATCTAGAACTTTTAATTTCAGTTTAATGTTAACTAACATACCTGATCAAGAATCAATTAGGATAATCACAATTTATATACCACATACAATAAAAATCCTGAAAGATAAAAATTATTTACATAAACTTCAAAGTTATTAACATTATGCGAAAGTGCGATGAGTAGGAAAAGAAGAGAGTGATATTCCACAGTGGGTCTTATGTGTGAAAGCGAATCAATCACAACGATTGTTTACATGAAGAAACTAACCTAATATGATGTTACAGTTAAGTACGTAGTACTGCATGTCACCTATATGTGATAGAAAATTAAATAATAATATGAAAGTGATTGTCCAAAAAGTAGACCCATGCACTGTTTAGTAATCAGTGTCCTCTATCCGATCATTTTCAATTTCGATCTTATACTATAATTGTTTCGTAACTCGGATTGAAAAAACTCAGTTTGAAATTGGGACCACGATTTGCTGGATCGATCAGTAGAGTGAGTATCCTCCATTGATTCGATCGTTTTCAGTTTCGATCTTGTACTATATTTGTTTTGTTCATTTAATACAGAGTAAATAGTCTTAACCTCTCGCTTGAAATTTTGGGACCACGATTTGCTCGATCGATCAGTAGAGTTCTTACTTTGTAATTTACTAATTTTGGCTTATCATTTTGGTCATAGCATTGCCTATGATTTCGCGTCATACGAAGATAAAAAAAACCTCTTGCTACCTGTTCCAATAATAAAAGCAATTTAAATAAGTAAAATTTAATGACGTCTAGTTTTTATTTGGTTAGCATCGCATCTCCAACTAGGGATGGGCAAAATACCCGCGGTTATGGAACTTCACGGTTATGGGTAATCATTTAAATAAATAAACAGTTACCAATGAAATTTAAATGGGTGGTTATGGGTATTAACCGCGGTTATAAACGGGTAACCGTTTATCCATTTATTTTATATATGTAAAATTAACACAAACCATGTTCTCGGTCCAATAATACTTAGCACCCAATAAATTAGCAAGGAATTCATCAGTCCTTCTCTCAATAACACTGCTGCAGGAATGATGCTTCTCATCCGCAATGAATTCGCCAAATTAATTTAAAGGGAGACTTTGGATGCAGTCTTTAACTATAAATATTCTTTGATTCAAAATCATAAAAATAAAAAAAATAATAATAAAAAAAAATATCTTAATAACATTAGTAAATTTCTTCAATTAAACTTGACATGGATACATTTTACAATCAAAGAAAAAAGAGTGTACCCATATAAGTTTAAAAATGGATTAAAAAAAAAAATTGAATAGCTGTTATATAAAAAAAAATGGTACATTTTACATATAACAAAATAAAAAATTTTTACATGAATAGGTACATATTGTGACATCCCACATCATCCAGGGGTGTGATCCTTAAATGTATATTCACATCTCTACCTAGCACAAGGCCTTTTGGGAGCTCACTGGCTTCGGGTTCCGTAGGAACTCCGAAGTTAAGCGAGAAGGGGGCTAGAGCAATCCCATGATGGGTGATCCACTGGGAAGTTGCTCGTGAGTTCCCAAAAACAAAACCGTAAGGGAATGGTAAGCCCAAAGCGGACAATATTGTGCTACGGTGGTGGAGCGGGCCAGGGAAGTGATCCCGCCCAGGCCGGGATGTGACAATTTGGTATCAGAGCCTAACCCTTTTCGCGTGTGTGCTGACGAGGACGTCGGGCCCCTAAGGGGGGTGGATTGTGACATCCCACATCGCCCAGGGGTGTGATCCTTAAATGTATATTCCCATCCCTACTTAGCATGAGGCCTTTTGGGAGCTCATTGGCTTCGGGTTCCGTAGGAACTCCGAAGTTAAGCGAGAAGGGGGCTAGAGCAATCCCATGATGGGTGACCCACTGGGAAGTTGCTCGTGAGTTCCCAAACACAAAACCGTGAGGGAATGGTAAGCCCAAAGCGGACAATATCGTGCTACAGTGGTGGAGCGAGGTCGGGAAGTGATCCGACCCGCGCCGGGATGTGACACATATAATTAGCATGGGTGCATTTAGCAAAAATAAAAAGTACAAATAAAAAAAATATATATGGGTACAAATACAAATAAACTTTAAAAAATATGGGCACAAAAAGAAATTAATATATGGGTACAAATTAAAACTGAAAAGAAAATTGGTACAAATTAAAAAGAATTACAAATTAAAAATGGGTACAAACTAAAACTGAAAATATATGATAAAAAATTTAGTCATAAATATAAATATACTAATTGTAACATTTTTAACATTAATACCCAATGACCTTGATAAAAAATTGAAAAGGAATAGGATTTTAATCAATGGAATAGCAAAAGGAAGGATGAGAACCTAATTTCCCCTAACTTATATTTCTTGCAGGTAACCGTGAAATTGATTGAAATGTCTTCAAAACAATTTTCGTAACCCAATAATACTTAGTAAATATTATATTATCTTCACTGGTAATAGTTAAAATTATCGTATGTAAACTATTATTTCAATTATTGGAATGGTATAAGGACTTAAAAAATTAAAATACGGAAATGTATGATGAATGTACCTATAACGGTGTTTAATTGTCCAAAAAAAAAAAAAAAAAAAAAAAAAGAAGAAGAAGATAAACGGGTTAAAAAGGGTAAATGGGTCAACGTGTATTAAACGGTTATGGTTAAATAGGTATGCGGTTACGGTTAAAAAGGGTATTAAACGGTTACGGTTAAATAGGTATGCGGTTATAAGTATTGTTAACCGTTTATAAACGGTTATGGGTATAAGTATAACCGTTTAGACAATTACCCAAAAGGTAAACGGTTATGCAGGTATGAGCATAAATAGTTATGGGTAAATAACCGCGGTTACCCGCCTGCCATAACCGTTGCCCATCCCTATCTCCAACTGTCGCATCGCATCTCGCATCTGCATCTGCATCGCAACTCGCGTCTACATCTGAATATAGCCACCTAGTCTGCTTAGGCCCTATGTTGATGCTAGCCCTCATCTCGCCGTCCAACTACCGTCTAGCATTTTTAGAACCTTGTATAGTACTACAAAGGCAGGTAGCTAGCTAGCTAAGTTTTAACTTTAGTTGGTAGGGCGAAGACAGTAAATATTTAGGCTTTACTGAAAAGCTTTAGGAGACGGGAGAATGTAGTAGGGCAAGAATAAATATGTCGGGCAAGGTTTTGGCGCCTAGAAGAAAATTGTAACTAATCAGGGCATTAAAGTGATTGTCATGTAGTGAAGCTTAGGGTAAGTGGATATAAATAGTGTTTGAAATCTATTCACTACTATTTGGCTTGTAAGATTATATTAAACAGGTCAATAGCTACTCGGATCAGTAGAACTCCTCTTTCGGTCATTCGTTACGATTGCGTAGAAAACTATGATTGGGACTTGGGAGTTGTCTAGAACCACCTTCTATGTTCACCCATAAAGGGGCACAACTGTCCTTTTCATAAAGAAAACTAAATAAGCCCGGTAATTTCTGACCGTTGGGCCTTCCGTCGAGTCCACCACCTGGACCCATAATCATCATCAGAAACAGTATTATTCCCACTGCCAAATTCGCTAATCGCCTTATCAGATTTGCTCAGTCCTTGCTCACTCAACCGTCCGTTAAGTCCCCCAATGGCGGAGCCGTACGGAACCAACGGCGGAGTCCACGTGGACGTTACCGACAACGACGGCGAGATCCACACCAACCGGGAGGAGACTCTCTACGGCATCTTCCACCGTCTGATTGTTGAGATCCTCTTCCCCGGCTCCACCAGTGCCGGTGCTGCTGCTCCGCTGTTTCAACGGATCAAAACCTCTCTAGCCAAGAACGGTCCGTTGCTTCACGAAGCTTCCAGAAACAGTGGGCGAAACGTTCTTCTCTGGACTCGGAGGGGGAGCCCTCTCCGTGCACTGCTAGTCATCTCTGTGAGTATTGTCGGTGATCTTAGCTTTTGAATTAGTTGTACCTTGTGCTTTGATTACTTGTACATTGCAATCTAGGAAAGATGGAGTTTATTTATTTATTTTTTGTTTCCAGAGCTCTGTGTGCTTATGAAGGTTGTACATTATGCATTTGGGCTTTGTACATTGATATAAAAGCAACACAATTTTTTTAGCTCTGGAAGTAACATTTTGTTTGTTTTAATGAAAATTCTTTTATGTTCCGGTGTATGTTACGCACGATGTGCATCAAAGGGATTGAATGGCCAAGGTTCTCGGTGTATAGTATGCTCCGGTGCATTCTAGAAAATCCTGTAGTTGAGAAGAAGGAAAAGACGACGAAACCCTTTTTTCTTTCTTTGTCACCCCGGATACGCTTAAAAAAAAAAAAAAGGTTGATAACTATGGTGGCGGAATTCATCCACATCAAAATTTTTGCGGGTTATAAATTTAATCGAATAGAGGGTCAATTCATCAATGGGACACAAGGAAAAGCTCATAATTTGGAGTCCCACTGGGCATTCTGCACGACATTTCGTTCACATTGTATGAAGGTGGCTTACAAGGAAATCAGGGACAGATGTAGGAGTGGTACTTATTAGTGTCTTTCTTCCCATTGGTCTGTGATGTGTACAAATGAATGTGAATGTCTCGATTATCCGCTGCTTCATTGTCCCATTGCATTGACCTTGTATATTGTGGGGGTGGCCAAGTTTGTTATTGGATGGAAAAGGAACTAAAGAGCAAGTTGCTTGTTGAAGGGCTGGCATTGCAGACTTCCATTCAGGGATTTAACAACTGTAGAAAATATAGAATCTGTGGTACACGATGATTGCAGACGAATATAGTGCTTTGGGAACCTTAACCTTTTCCTTAGAGATGCCAGGTTCGGATCTCATTTGCTTAGGATGGCGGTTAATGACAGAAAAAGGAGAGGAAAGAGGCATTACAAGGGTATTCACAGGGACTGAAGTGTCATAAGAAGCTAAAGATGAAACAGTTGATAAATCTTCCATAAGAACTGCACGTAAAATAGAGGAAGAAGAATTAGAAGAACAAGACGAAACATAAGGTAGAATAGAAGTCGAAGAAGGTATTGTTGTTAGAACAATTCAAGGAAATTCAAAGAAGTGAATACTTTGTTGGGGAAAAAGTTACCTGTAAGGATATCCCTTGTTCATTATGTGCTCAGTCTGGATCAACTTACGGAGAGATTTCCCGAAGCTTTGGCTTCTGCTAGATTTCTTTTTGCACTCCAAGTTTGCGGGGGCATGATAGACAACAGAGTTCACAGTACAGTTGTAACACTAGATGATAGCTCAATTATGTGTGAGTCTTAGACTTTTAGTTGCAGTTGTAAAGAGAGTTTGTCTGGTAGTTGTGATTACCTATTCTTGTGAATGATAAATCTGTTTCCTTCATCAGATAAATTCGTGTGATATAGCTTCTTAGTTGTTTGGTATATGTTGAGTGAGGATAATTTATTTTTTATGCCTGCTTTTGGGCGCAATTTTCTATATCATGGAAGCAAGACATTTTATGTTATGCATATTATTCCTTGTAGGATCTTATTGATATTCCTCTTCATGTTTAATGAGTCTTCATGAATAATAACTAATCACCACAGAAAATGTACTTACCCTCAAATTCTTTGTCCTATTGTTCTTGGTTTTTTCAATTAATTTTATTAGATCCATTCTAATTTTTCACTTGCTGTGATTCCAACAAGTCTAATTTTTAAATGTAAGTGCTGATATTGATTGATATATATAGATTGATTCAAGTCGACACTTGAGTTAACAACTGACTCTTTTGATGCAGGTTGGCACGATTACTCTTCTTGCCTTGACAGGGTTGCTTGTCTTCACGCTTTTCTTCGCGGCAGCAACTTTCAATGCCGTTGCTATCTCTCTCCTACTTTCTCTGGCAGCTGCAGGAGGATTCTTGGCCATTTTCTTTGCCTGTGTAACAGTGATATACATTGGAGCGTTATCAGTGGCTCTTTTTGTTATTTCCGCCACAACAATATCTGCAATTGGAGCTGTTCTGATAGCTACAGGTAGGGCTAGTTAACCAATTAACCATTACTTCTCCTACCTCTTTTTAGTTTTTAATACCTAACCCCTACATATCTAAGGACAACCTTATTGTCTAAAAGTGTTATATAACCAGAAGTATCGCATTTACGACTATATTGATGGTAGGTTTCTAAATTTTCAACCATTATACTTGTCAGGCCTACACATATGGATGAAAATTACTTATCAGGCCTACACATATGGATGCAAAAAGTAGTTAGTTTATCTACTTGAGAAGGACCAATTGACTGACTTTGTTTTGTTTCTGTTGAAGTGTTTGCGTGCCCCTTGTTACCGATTTCCCTGGCTTCAGATCAGTTCATGTCCTGTATAATACAATTTATTGATGGCTGATGGATCTATATTTTGAATTGTCTCTAATTCCACTTCCTATTGAGTCAAGGTTCTTATCATTTTTCTTTGTTCCCCTAACTAGGTTGGATTGGATTCTTTTGGATCATGTGGCTGGCAACAACGAAATCTCTAGGCCTTGCTAAGCAATCGTTGAATGTGACTGGTTCGGTGATTTCAGCTTACTCTTACGGTAGGCATGCTCGCCATCATTCAGCGATAGGTAAAGCTTCCAATTGAAGATTAATAAAAAGAAATTGTCCGATTGAAGCATATGCCAGGTTTCTAGGCCCTTCCTGAGATCTATGACAACGTCGTTTCTTATCTGCAGTTTGATACATATTTGTTGGACTACTATTAAGGCAAGATAGGCCAGCTATTGTATAGGTTTTACCTAGTTTGTCTATTTTCTTGTCCATATGCAACTACCATGTATTGGCCGATTTTGTATAATTAAACGCAGCCACTCTTCCCTCGAGGAGTTGTGATCTGTTGACGAACTTCACGTATATAGCAATCTGCAGCTTGGGTCGTTTATTGCTCGTATAATGCTGTATCGTTCTCTTTTTGGTCTGTACATGTATGAACAGGCTGTGTTAGCAGCACTGGGTATCATTTGTTTGGATTCCAGTTAACCAGTCCATGTGGTATACTGCTCATGCTCCGGGTACATGGAAAAATCTCGCATGGAGATGAACACTGAGACTAGTCAATCAGACAATCACACCTAGCATTTCTGACTGACTTGTTTAGATATCAATTAGTTACAAAACAACAAATCTTGATACCCAAGAAATCTCGTCCAATAAATAAGCCGCAAACAAAACCCTTTCTGAAACTTAACTTTTCTCACTGCACCGTGGATGTCTTCCCCACTTTGTCTTCTAGGCCCTCCAGAGCTCCAGCAGCCTGACTCCTCCACAAACTACCAAACCCCGATCAGGTTCACCACCTGTAAATGCCACCGTTGATGTCTTCCCCGCTTTGTGTTCCCAATGAGTCAAGGTTCTTACACTCTGCCATCACACAAACTTTAGGTGACGGAGGGTTTAATTGTTGCGCCAGAGGTGTCGGGATTGGTTATATAGGTTCAAATAAAACTTCCCTTTCTATTTTCATTAACTTGAGGTTATAGTTTAGTAAGTGCATTGTTGACTTCAAAACTCTGGATGGAAAGGAAATTAATGAGATTTAAACATAAGGTTTTGAATCATTTGACATTAAAATCTTACTAGAATTGGAGGATGCAAAAATATTGGGCATAAATGTGTGCATGAACCTAATATTATATTTCTTAACTAAGATATGCTCCTAATTTTATAAATACCATCACCATCTCAAAGCCATGTAGCATTATAATCAGTAGAAATCGAAAGTAAAATGGCCTGTGGTTATCTCTCTCTCATTACCAAGAATTTAATCGTTGCAGTAGCCATAGTCATCATCTTCTTTTCACTCGGTATGTAGTCGATATATATGTTTGACCTTTAATTTCTTGCATTTTTGTTAAGCACCAAATTAAATTCCTGTTAATTATTTTGATGTTTTCAATTGTTTTTCAGTAAGCGCTGAAATAATATGCCAGGGATATTGTGAAGATATTGCTTGTTGCAATGCCTTTTTGCACGAGAGATGGTTATAAGGGAGGAAAATGCTATCCACCATTTAGCCAATTTAATTTGTTGTTGTGAAAAATAATAGTGGCCTTGTGTATTGAGGGATGGGCAGGGACAGGGTAGAAGGAATCCCATTATAATTTCTGTTGTTGTAATAAACTCCCTTTGAATAAAACTAATGATTATTCTATAACGTCTTCTTGTTTTAATTATTTTCTTCTTTAAAAGAGGTATTCGGTTCGATTTTTGCCAAATGCGAATTTAAATCACGTTATTGGTAGCCCATTGTAAGGCTAAGCCCACACTTTCTCTCTCCCTTAATGCAGATAATATCATTTGTTAAAAAAAAAAAAAAAAGTTCTTTGATAACGATATGCATTCCATTATAATTTATGTTGTTGTGTTGTAATAAACTCCCTTTGAATAAAACTAATGATTATTCTATAACGTCTTCTTGTTTTAATTATTTTCTTCTTTAAGAGAGGTATTCGGTTTGATTTTCGCCAAATACGAATTTAAACCACATTATTGGTAGTCCATTGTGAGGCTAAGCCCACACTCTCACTCCCTTAATGCAGATAATATCGTTTGTTCAAAAAAAAAAAAAGTTCTTTGATAACAATATTCATTCCATTATAATTTATCTTGTTGTGTTGTAATAAACTCCCTTTGAATAAAACTCTTACTTTAGTTCTTTTTTTTTTTTTTTTTTTTGATACAACGATATTCTACCTTAAGAGGTGAGATATATAATATTCTACTCCAATGGGTGGATATATTCTACTCTAATATCTTTTTATTTTAGCTTTATCTATCAAAGTATGCACCTTATGATCATGTTTGAGTTTACCAATGACATGGTCACTAAGCCATAAGCAATAATGAGAAAAATAAGAGATAATGGATGTGACCTTGTACTAAAGAATGCTTCCATATTATGATAATTAAACAAGATATTGTTGTACATGATAAATTAAACCAAGTTGTTAAGAGTAGTGTGCTCACCTCTTGCACCATAGTTTAAATTTGTTGGAAAACATAAAAGAAAGTATTTTATAGATTTTATTTAACTAGGATTTGATTTGATTTCGTTTGGGTCTCCTTGTCTTGTGGACAAAGATTTGATTTTACTTATTTCCTGTTATGGCTCCTTTGTAATCATATAAAAATCCCTTATGAAAAATAATAAAGTATTATGAAGTTTGTGAGGTTATTAGAGAACTCTCAATTTACCAAAACTCTTTATTTTTCAACTTGGCATCAAACCAGAGTTCGATTCTTGGTCGAAATTTGTTGTGAGCACTTCCATGTGGGTGCACAAAGTTAATTTGCTTCATGCACAACTAGGGCATGAACTTAAGGGTGAAGGTTATCTACAATTTTTCAGAAGAAGAATTGCCTCCGTCGTGAAAGAAGATTAAGGAAAAATTTGGAATGAAAAGGTACGACAGATAAAATGTTGTTGTCAAAACTCAGACAGAGTCTTGATAGGTTTAAACACGTATTAGCCAGATTGTTGTTTTCAGACTTAGTGCCATGAATGATTCCAGAGAAAGAAAGAATAGGCTTGCCATTGTTGGAGGGTGCCAACAGACATTGTTTGTGTTTGAATATGTGAAGATGTGCGTTAATCTGACATCTTAACTAAATGATTGTGCACCAGGTGAGATGTTAGATTGATTAAGTTCTTTTATGTGCCTAGATCTAATAAGGACTTAAAATTCAGTGTAACTTCATGGATACTTGCCTAAAAAGTGAATGAAAGTGAAATAGAAACTAAAATGGGGAGCATAATATAATCCTTTCATTGATGGAGCCAAGATTACAAACATTCACAAAAGTAAAATCTATGCCTTGTAAAGGAAATCTGGGTGGTTGGAATTGCTTATCAACCAAATCATACCATGAGGTGGCATAGTTGAAAATTTTTTAGGTCTTAGTGATCTTAGGCAGTGTTTTTGCTTTGAAAGAAGGCTTTGAGGTTGTAGCTGAAGAGCTAAGATAGTTTTGCTGAAGAGTAATTGGGTTTGTGCTAAAAAGTAGTTAGGTTGATTGAAGAATCCTTCATGGTTTTGTTTAATTGTAGAGATTGTATTTGATGAATGTCCTAAAATTGAGGCATCTGGCTCCATTTATAAGCAAGGGATAGAGAGCATATTTTCAAAGGCAGGGAAAGAAAAGAAAGAAAGGAGAAGAAGAAAGAGAAAGCTGCACAACCTGTTTTAATAAACAGGATTTTGCTTGACAAAATGGTTTGTTGGGCAATGACGAAAACATGTTGAGCAAATGAAGTTTCGGTGGTTTTTTTGACAAGTCATTGTTACACTTTGCTCAATGAACCTTATAGTTTAACCGATGAAACACATAGTCGGCAAGGTCACATAAGTGGTGTAAACTTGCAAGTGCACAAGAATATCGGAATATAATGGCTTACAAGTCCAAGTGTCGTTCCCACGAAGATTCTTACTTAATCAATATTTGATAACCTAAAGAAAATCTAATGAAACAAACACCACTTATACTCAATCTAAACTAAAGATTTCAATGAAATTGTAGAGAATTGTTTTGAATATTTGATTTTTAAGCAAACGAAAACAATATTAAAAAGAAAAGTAAACAGAAAGTACTATGGGATAATAACGTTGAAAATTGAGATTTGACAAACAATGGTGAAAATCTAGGGATTCAAAATCAACCACAAGCAATCTAGTTTAGGTTTCAATGCATTGAATAGATCTTTTGATTCTTTAGATGGTAATTCCCATATCTAAGTTGTCAGGCACATTAGACCACAGTTTTCCTTAAGTGAATGATTTTCTCCTAGTTCAGGCAGAGGTCATATATCCTAACATCCAGTCTATCTTGGTTATGGCATAAATTTAATAAGTAGGACTCTTTACACTCTAGAAAACAAGGGAACCAAGCAAACCATTATTCTTTGTCAAGCAATAATGTAATTTACCACACCTAACCACAAGAAGCTAATTGACTTATATTGCAAGTTTAGCCTCAAATTCATCTTCCAATCTTACTAGATGCAAAGTCCTAAGGTGATCAATCAGAGAACTCAAATAAAAAGTAACTATTCAAACAGTGATTAAGCATTCATCTGAAAGAAACTAGAAATCTAATCAATAACATTAAAAACCATAAACATCCATGCTAGGGCATCATCCTAATCCTAGAAAAAGAGTTTAGTTACTCATAGAATATGAAAACATAATTACAAATCTTAAAAACATGAAAAACTTTCGAACGATGAAAATGGATAGGATAGATGGTTGGCGGCTGTGACCTTTCCTTTTCTCCTTGAACTCGAAAATCACATTCCCCCAAATCTGGTCCCCCAAAAGTCCTTTTTGTCTTCCTTCTTTTTGTCTTGAATAAATGTTGAAATCCTTACTTGAATAAGACTCTTTAATTCTATTCTTACTTGGATTGGTATATTGATGATGTGGTGCACCAAACTAGTAAATATATTAACTATAAACCTTTTAGGATAATGTTGAACTCTTCTAATAGCTCTCCTTTTGCTTTGCACGTTTCCTTTGATTAAAATTTGTAAATCTGAAATCTTTTTGCAAATCCCATGTAAGCATTGCTGGCAGAAGTCTAGTATAAGAATCACTATAACGTCTTCTAGGAAACTTGGAATCATGAACCTTAAAATTCCTCTGAAAGCTAACTTCCATATCTTTCTAATGGTACAAGGCTCAACAGTTGGTTCATTATGAGGAATTACAGTTTAATCCATAAAGTTGTCTGAACTACACAAAAGCTTCTGCTTCCATCATGCTAAACTCATTTCTATCGCAAAAGTGCTCATTTTTCTTCTTTCTTCATCTTCACTCTTCAAATCTAAGAAAAACATTAAACTAAGTGAA